AAATGGGCTGTGCCCTCCTATGTCAGTCTCTAAAAAATGCCCCATAATCATGCCTTACAGCCCAGTCTGGGGGAGATGGTTTTTCCATTGCTGTTCCTTCCTCACAATGACCCAAGTCTGTGTGGAGTTCACCCAAACTAACCAGTACAATGTTCAATACAAAAATAACACTCTTTATGTGTGTGGAAAGTTTTGGTATTGGGATTGTATTTTTAAAGTTATGGTCTATTTACATCTGATCAAACCCTTCCTGTAGCTCAGATACCTTGTGGCTTTATTTATGAAAGGGACAAATAGATTATAGAATGATTTTAATGTTCTTCCTGACAGTATCATTGAACTTTTCTTGTATTTAAGCCACTGTAAATGTAAGAATCCAAAAGTTGGAAATCTGTAAAAATAATAAATGCAGTCAGAATCCATTATCCTCAACTTGGATGTGAATGAAATATAGGCAGGGTAATTTGTAAATTTTGCACTATGTTTTCATTCCTTACAGATGAATTATGGCTTCCACTTTTGTGTTTTTGTAGGATACAGGAATCCACGAAAGGGTGGGCCTCTGTGTCTACTGTTTCCTGTGGCTTCTATTGGCCTGTTTTATGTTTATTTGTTTTGTCCTATTCTGATTTGTTTATTCTTATAATGTTTTACTTTATTAATGTCCCTTTTGTGCCTGTGTGCTTCCTAAGAACACCTAAGGGGCTGGATCCAGATGGAAAATGATTAGGGGAGGAACTGGGAGTAGTAGAGGGAGGGAAAGCTGTAATCAGAACTTCTGTCTGAAAAAAATTATTTTCAGAAACAAAACAAAACAAAAAAAAGAATGGGTGTTTCTACACTGAATTCCAAATAGATGAAGAGACACAATTCCCACAAGTTAATGAAATTGTAGAACATTTACATAAGACCAGAAAGAAAGTAATGTAAAAGTAATTATTCTGAGTGTAAGTATAATATATTTAATAAAATTTCATGGAAAAATACGTCACTGCACACTCAAATGTGTATTTGTACATTTCAGACATTAACTATATGTATGTACCTACACAAACATAGTGATTGTTTTTAGCACATTTACGTATAGAAAAACTGATTTCTTCCAACATATTTAGGAATATGAATTGGTGAGAAGTCTGAGCGACAATTTATGAGTATATAACACAACTTTAATGGGTCACTTTTCCTATAAATACCTGCACATTGTCAGTTATATAGAGATAATCAGGTGTCAGTGAAGAGGCCTAGGGAATCTATTGAGCCTTGGGCAGCAGATCAGTACCCATCCCGAGTATACACACGGACTTTGGACTCCCATAGAACAATGTGAGGTGCACTCTCACCCTGAACTCTTGGGGAAGGGTCTAGGCCCTGCCCTATATGAAATGACACACTATGCACACCCCCATGGAGGGCCTCACCCTCCCTGGAGAAATGAGGGGATAACGGGGGGGGGAGGGCACGGGAGGAAGGGAGGGAATGGGAGAGGGACCTGGAACTGACTTGTGAAGCAACCTTGTTTCTTATCTAAATTTAAACTGGAAAATAAAATTTTAAAAAAAAGCAAACTAAATCTTCATTTACTTTGTAGCCCAGTCACAGTTGAGATGCTGTAACAAAAATGCCATAGATCTGATGCCTTAAACAACAGAAATGTATCTGTCACTATTCTGAAAGCTAAGAATTACAAGATCCCACTCTTGCCCATCTTGGCTCCAAGATGACAAAAAAAAAAAAGACGAAATGACGGGCGTGCCAAAACAGGCCGTGGCTACGAGCTCCTGGTGCGTGCCCAAAGACAAGGTCATTAAGAAGTTCATCATTCAGAACATTGTAGAGGCTGCTGCTGTCAGGGACATATCTGAAGCAAGTGTCTTCGACACTTATGTACTCCCAAACTCTGTGTCAAGCTGCATTACTGTGTGAGCTGTGCTATTCATAGCAAAGTAGTGAGGAATTGATCGAGAAGCCCAGAAGGAACGAACACCCCCACCACGATTTAGACCTGATGGTGCTGCACCACGACCTCCACTAAAGCCCATGTAAAGAGATGGCTTCATGAAGACACCTTGGAAAAATAAAACGGGACTTTATGTAGAAAAAAATAGTACATGATTCCTAATAAGACCCTTCTTACTTTGCATACAAATGTCTTCTTGCTATGAATGACAGAGGCATTAGCTCTGTCTCTTTTCTCTTCTTGTAAGAACACATGAGAGTTCCACCTTTGAATGGGTTGAATGAGAATGACCTCTATAGACTCATATGTTTGAATATTTGGTCCCCTGTTGGTGGAACTGTTTGGGAAGGATTAGGAGGTGTGGTCTTGGAGGAGGTATCACTAGGGGTGGACTTGAGACTTTAAAAGACTCTTGTCATTTCTATGCGCTTTCTGTCTCCTGCTTACAGTTTTGAGATATGAGCTCTCAGCTGTTCCTGCTGCCATCAGCTCTCTCTCTAATGAAACCTCTAACCCTAATTAAATACTTGCTTTAAAAAAAAGCTGATTTCTTCCAACATATTTAGGAATATGAATTGGTGAGAAGTCTGAGCGACAATTTATGAGTATATAACACAATTTTAATGGGTCACTTTTCCTATAAATACCTGCACATTGTCAGTTATATAGAGATAATCAGATTCACTATAATATTGTTTGTGGTAGAAAAAGATTTTAAAAAACCCAGTGTCTTTCAGCTAAATAATGATTACTATACTATAGTAAAGCAAAGTAATAGACTTATGCAGCCAGAAATTTGAATAAAAACATGTAGACATACCCATACCAAAGCATTATAACATTTTTCTAAATTAATTATTAAATTCATATATGAGGTAATGTGTTTATAATCATTGAGTCTTCACACTCATGTCACTATACTTGATTCTCAGTATTCCCTGCTCTCACTCTCTTCTCTGGGTCACCTGATCCATGCTGACTGGCTGCCTTTCTTTCCCCTGATAACTGTGTACTGATTTCATGTCACTTGTGTTCTGTCAGCCTTTCTTCCCCCCCACCTGAAGATATGCCTACTTTCTGATAGAAGCAATTACTCAAATGAATTACACATTTCCAATTTCCAGATTTGCAGTTTTGTATTGTTGACAGTACCACCAAAATCTCAAAAAAATTAACTAAGACAAACAAACAAAACAACAACAACAAAGTGTTACTGACTGAAAAGTGAAGAGACTAAGAAGTCACAGCAAACTCCAGAATGAAGGGATGGGTGCTGAATCACATAGCACAAGAAACACCATAAAATACAAAAGATTTAATGGGGAGAACTACAAAATACAAGTAGAAGAAGCAATGGATGCCCATAAAGGAAAGATTATGTCCATTTCTTTGTGATGGCTTATAAAAAGAAACCTGTTTTTCCAAATGAATAAATAATTCAGTGTAGTGACTATCAAAATCTCTATTCAACTACCTTAAGAATTCAAAAGAAAGATAAAGGCCAACGCCAGCCAAGCCAGCAAGATGATTTTAATAATAGGTTCCATGAGGGAGTATGGATGTGACTCAGTGGATAAAGCATTGTGTTATAAGTCTGTGAACAGCAGAACAAATCTCTAGGAACCACATAAAAGCCAGGTGTGCCTAGCGGCTGCCTGGGATCCCACTCTTGTAAGGTGAGGAAGAGGGCCTAGGCCCTGCTCCAAATGATATGACAGAATTTGAAGATCCTCCATGGAAGGAGCCACCCTCCCTGGGGAGCAGAAATTGGATGGGATAGGGGGGCAGTGGGAGGCAGGGAAGGAGGGGAGGGAGAGGGAACTGGGATTGACATGTAAAACAAGCTTGTTTTTATTTAAATAAAAAATATCACACCCCAAAACATAAGGTGAGGCAGAGGAGCCCAGGGCAAGTTGTCTCATTAGACCAGTTGAATTAGCACTTTCTGGGTGAATGAGATACGCTGCGTAGGTAAATACAGTAGAGAATGATCCAATAAGGCACCAGACTGACATCAACTACTGGCTTCCATGTGAACATCACCTGAACACACATGTGGACATGCTTACTCATATATAGGGGAAATCACTCATTGATCAATACAGAATTACCATGAAGTTAAATAATTAAAATGATGTCAAAAGTCAGAAGAACAGATTAACTAAATGATGACATTCAAGAGAGAGTTCAAGAAAAGGCCTCCGTGTATAATAGAGTGTGAATGTGATGCTATTCAAATCAGTGGGAAATACACACTCCAAGCAGGGGTGTTTATTAATCAAGAGTGTGAATGATAAGTGCATCTTCAACCTGTGTCATTTATAGAGAAATTCTGGCTAGTGTAGAAGCCAAGATATACATGGAAGATTTAAAGGAAAGTTGTGGAAAACTTGATAACAATGGAGGGATTCCACCCATGATGGTAAAATAAAATAAAGCAAAATACTGTCTTACAAGACATGCTTTTCACCTTCTTCCTAGAACAAATTCTGCTTGAGTGTTTAGGACTGCAAAAAGCACTAAGACACTAGGCGACATACTTGATCCAGAGAACGGAATCCTTCACTTCTTTCTGTATCTTCTTTCCAGCAGAGCAGAAAGTAGGACAAACACTTACAGGTGAGTAACTGAGTGGCAGAAAGAAGATTTACCCATTACAGTATCTGAACACAGCATAATGGTATAGACCTCCTGTGTACATAACTTTTGGTTTCTAAACAAATGAGATCAGGGCTTGTCGCAGCACAAACATGATATAAAGTGAGTCAAAATGATCCAACAAGGTCTTATAGCTCACCTCGCATTTAATATAAATATCAGCCACAAATACACTTGACTATTATTGTGTGGTCATTTTGTAATCATGATGCTACACTTTAAAAATTGGTAACATTTTGCTACCAAAAGAAACGCCTGATAGATCTGGGTTAAAATGTGAATACTAAACAATTTCAAATTTTTATTAGAACCATAATAAGACACTTTATGATAGCATTTATGAGAGATGCATTTTAATGAAAACAGATTTACCAATCCAGGTGATTATTTATTATAATAAACAGAAGGCTCAGATTGGGCTTGTATAACTGGACTTATAAATTGTCTTCTTTGTGTTGACATTTTTCTTTCTTTTAATAGGAAATTCAGTCAAATTCACCACAAATAACCTCCACTAGAGAATAAGAATGCTCTTTCTGTAGACTGAATGAAACAACCCACAAGAATGCTGCATTGGACTCCTCTGCAAATAGAACAGGCAATTTTCAGTGAGAGAGTGATACATGCATGAGTATCATTCCACCAGCAGCGCTATTAAAAGAATTTTTACACTAAATAATCAAAGCAGGATTCATTGTTCCTCATCCAGTTCATCTATTATACTGAAATGGAATATGAGTCTTAGAATCTTATTTGTAAATTAGGCTGTTGTCTTTTATAGTCAAATTCCAAATTTATGGCTGTTCACATCTCCCTAAGTGCTAAGTGCTTATAGGGTCAATGAATAAGAGAACAGGGAAAAAAGCCCACAAGATCTTTTTGTACAATGGCAAATATATTGGGATAAGCATAGCACAGGGCCTTTTCATTTGCCTTTTAATTTTAAATTCTCTTTATCACAAAAATGTTCTGTTGCTTCTATTTTTGAAATCTAACACAAACTAATAGCATTCATATAAGCATTTAAAACGTTCCAAGGCTTGAATTAGGAGATGATTAATATGTAATTTCATTTTCATGATGATCTTAGGTAAAGATCTTATCTTATACTTTCAGGTGATAAAACAGTATTAGAGGCAGGCAGACTACAGAAGAAATTCCCTTAACTCACAGATCTAGTAAGAGATGTGCTGTGAATCAAGACTTCATTTAATGATGGTGATCACCTGTGTAGAGTATTCTTCATGTTACAGTTATGTCTCTTTATTACATCTCTGTTATCCTCAGGACATCTCATCTGAAAAGGCACAGTTGTAGCCAATGTTCCTTATCTATGCCTGATCACCATCTCGGTTCCTTTGCCTACCAGACTTACAAAGTTTGCTGTCATTTCTAGTGCCTTTGTCTATCAAAAAAATCCCAGATGTCATCACAGGCCAAAGAAAACCTACTTGTACATACCTTTTAATTAAGCAAGCTCCATATTTGTTCCTGGAACTGCCTGTTCTGATCAGGTTTGCTCTCAAAGTCATTGGCAATCAGCATTGCTGCGACACTGAAGTGGAAATACTAATGATGAGAAGTGGAAATGAGCATGCTTTTAGCTTTCAGCACCAGTTTGCCACAACGTTGGCAATTTTCTGAAATTGCATGATCATTATGCAATGATGCCTCATTTTCGTAGCTTGAAATGCATTCTTTAGGGGAAGAATGTTAATTTTTCCTTAGCCTTCATATGTTTTCAGTTGCAATGATACTCTAAAGTAAAAGACAGACCAATAGTGTTAAAGGTGTGTAATATACACATATTTACACATGGGGGATACCTGAAATACAAGAGCTATCAGTAGGATTGAATTCTAGCCTAATGGGGAATATGAAAAAATGTTCATTGCTTTCTTTTATTTTTGACATTTACAGTATAATTTCATCATTTTCCCCTTCCATTTCTTCACTTTATCCTCCTCTCATAAACCTCTCCTCTCTTTCAAATTTGTGGCCCACTTTTCATCAATTGTTTATACATGTATATTTTATATGTGTATACATCTGTATTCCTTAATATAACCTGTTCACTCTGTATGTTACTTGCATGCATAATTTCAGGGCTGACATCATTTGGTACTGACACACCAACTGGTGTGTTCTTACCTGGGAAGACTATCCTTCTTGCTCTCAGCAATCCTTTGCTGCTTTAGTTCTTTCTGTAGGGTTGGGGACTCCTGGTTTCTCTGCACTCCACTTGGCAGTCTACTGTTGGTGTCCTTGGTCGGCTCACTTAGGCGGTTCTGTTGTCAGGCTTTATGGATGTAGCTGCTGACATTCTTAGACAAACCCAGGTTGTTTGCTGACAGTCTCATAGCACACCCTCTCATCCTCTGGATCTTACAGTCTTTCTGCCCCTTCCACAATGTTCCCTGAGCCTTACGGATGGGAGGATTTTATAAATGCATTCACTGTGGCTAGGCTCCTTAGCTTTGCCTTTTGATTAGCTGTGGTTTTCAGTAATGATCTCTATTTGTTGCAAAGATAAATTTCTTTAATGAGGAGTGAGGACTGCAATTAGCTGTGGGCACAAAGACAAATATTTAGAATGGTGTTAGCAATTATGCTGGCTTAGTAGAGTAGTGGTAGTTAAGTTCTTCTCCAACATCCATGAATGTATGAGCCCTGGGTAACTGGCTAGGTTTCCTGTACCAGGAACAATTTTCCTGTTGTTGAGCAGGGTTTAAGTCAAATTAAAGAGCTGTTGGTTACGGCCAATGTGCCAGCAATGTGCAGGGTTATCTTGCCATGTTGATCATTGCTCTGGTTCATAAGTTCATGAGTGGATAGACCTGCACAACAAGAAAGGGAGATATGAGCTGCTAATGCTAGAGACTTAGGGGAATGTTTATACTCTGCAAAAGTTAATCAGAGTAATTTATTAATACAGATCCCTTCTGAGCAACAAGGGCCTAAGTCACCAACCACAGTCATTCTTTCCTCTCCCTGACAGAAAGATAAGGTGGAGTTATTTTATCTCTGCAAATTTGCTTCCAGTATTTGGGAAAATAATAGAAAAAAAAGCAGGTCTTTTGTATCTATTACTTCTTAATTGTCTTCAGCTTAATATTTAGCCCTAGTTCTGTGTGGAATTTTCTGGTCTTAAAGAATTATGAAGGAACATATTAAATAAAATGCATAATTAAACTAGTACAGCATTTGAGTATGTTCCAAGTTCCTGGAATTGTGAGCTGATACCCATACTGGTTGGGTTTTGGTGATGAAGCTGTTTTTGAGTCATTTCTCTCCTATAATTAATCCTGATAAAACTCTTGGTTCACTAAGTTGGTCTTTGGTGGAATCTGTACTTGGTCTGCCATGGGCTTTATCTCTGAGGTGAGTAGGCAGAAAAGTTTTGTGTCACAACACCTTCTACTCCTTCAACTTAAAAATTAATTACTTTTGCAGGTAGAGTTTAGAATGTGTCGACATTTTCCCTGAAGACTTAGTGGAATGTTGTAGCCCTGAAATGAAGCTGCAGCATCTGAACATGACTGCTCTGCAGAACAAACCTCATCTCACAACTCAGACTAACAATAAAGAGAGGAGAAATTCGATGTGTAACATAACCACTAATTCTCTTTTGAAAATATCTGCTGGCCACCGTTAGAGTGTTGAACTCTTGACATTAGAGAATTCATCAAATTGCCATAAATAATATAAACTTACTTTTTATGAAACTGTTATTTGTTATAATTTAACTGATTATCCCTAAAGATTTTAAGTCCTGTTGTTGACTGATACAAATGTCAAAGAGGAACACAATTAGGATTCATCTTTATTTGTAGGCCACTGGGGTACAATTGACATCTAATGAATTCCAACTCTTCACTGAAGGAGGTTTGATAGTTCTCCACGTTTAACTCTTTGCTGATGTCTGCAACCCTGTTCTTAGCTTCTTTCAGAAAGACATTTCTAGAATTCATTCCGGTTTGCATCACTATCTGTCACCTCACCATTCTGGTATTGGTGGTATCATTATACTTCTTAATTTGTCTCCCAGTAGTTTCTCATTCTTGCAAGGAAAAGCAATTGATTTTACTGAAGTGCCACGTCCCATGTCATCTGTTAATAACCTCAATTATTTTTAACATTAATGTTTATTATTGAGCACTATTACTTCTTTTCTTAGCTTAGATTCTCAAAAAAGATTTCTGGTCTACAGTCACATAGTGCTTGTGTCCCCATTCTTAGTTTCTTCTTGTTTCAAAAAGATTTTGAAAAATTTTAGGTGTCTGAGTGTTTTGTCTGCATGTGTGTATGTGCACCTTGTCTGTGAGTATTATCTACAGAGGCTGGATAAGTGCACTGTTGTCCTGTAGTTGCAGATGCCTGTGAGCTTCCATGTAGGTGCTGAGAAGCAAATCTGAGTCTTCTGCAAGAGCAGAGTTCTTAACTGTTTAGTCATCTCTCCTGTCCCTTTGGTTTTCATTTTAATTCCTTATGTTGAGAAACTATTCCTTTTTATGTTTTAATCCAACTTATATTTTTTCTGTGTTATGCCTTGTCTAACTTGTTAAATGACCTATTTGTACATTTTTAAAAACACACATGTATGCATACTCTGTTGTTATTTGTGAATGGTGTATTCTATAAACACACATCAGTTAATGCTCACTGTGTTATTAAGTTATTCAGTGTTCCTGATGTTTATCGTTCTACATATGACACCCATTTTCGAAGGTGAACATTGAGGATTCCAGGTAATATGCATTTAATATTTCTTTGTCCATTTCTATCCATTTTGCTTCATGTGTTTTGGAGTGGCATTACTAGGTACATGTAGACTTATAATCACAATATCTCCAGTGAATTATGATGTTTTAGCATCTCATCATGGCTCTTGTGGTTTCTTTTAATGACGCATCAGTTGTTTAGCTGTCTGTGGTGGATGCAGACAACATCTTTCTTATTTTAGTATTGGAGAGTGTGTCCTTCCCTATTCTCTTACTTTTATCTGCCATTTTAAAATTTAAAGAAAGAATTTTGTTCTCTGACATCTAGCTTATTATTTAGGCCACATAAATTATTAACTTGATAATGTTTTATATTTTCAGGTAAATAATTTTGGCACTTACTTTTAATTTGCTGTTTCAATTAAAATATTCATCTTCTCCTGTTTGTTCATGAGTTTTGAGGATTTGATTTTTTTAACATTGACATACTTTTCCAGATGGTTATTTATTTGATTCCTTTTAATGTTTTCTTTATGAACTAAATTATGAATGCCTACTTTTCCTCAAGCTGGTGTTACTATCTTATCACTTAAGGGATTTTCTTTTGGTTTTAATTAAGGTTTTCTTTTACTTGTTTGTTTGTTTCTGTGAAGAGACACCATGGCCACAGTAACTTTTATAAGGAAAACATTTAATTGAAGGGTCTCACTTATAGTTTCAAAGGTTCAGTCCATTATCATCATATCTGAGAGCATGACAGCATGCAGGTAGACATGGTGCTGGCAACATCTTGCAGGCAACAGGAAGACTTGCAGACTTGCAGGCAACAGGAAGTCAACTGAGACACTGGGTGGTATTCTGAGCATATGAACCCTCAAAGCCTGGCACCACACTAACACACTTTCTCTAGCAAGGCTACACCCACCCCACCAAAGCCACACCTCCTAATAGAGTCACTCCCTGGGAGATCATGAGGTCAAGTACATACAAACCGCCACACCTGTGATTTTCATTGGAGGATTAGTAGGAGAAAAGTGATATTTTGAATTTGCTGAAATATTGCTGCTATTTCTTTTGCTCTAGTTTTAATGCTTCTCACTTCTGTCTCATACTTGACTTAGGCCTGAGTCCATGATGGAGCACTTCTACTTTACAGAATCTGGAGATGAACAGTTCTGACCTTCCACTTGCTTGGCATAGTGTTCTGCTACCAGTTGCTAAGGAACTGTCAAGAGCTCACAAGATTTGCTAGGTTAGTACTTAAATTGACTGCTCTATTAGTGGAGGATCCTTTATATTTACATTATAAAACAACCATAGTTAATATTGATGCTTATTACAGATATGGGAGACATATATATGTCTTCATGAGACACTGCAATATATATTATAATCCCAAATTGACTCATTATGAATCTGTACCTTGAAATGTATAGGCTAGATATATTTCCTAAAGCATTCCTTTCCTTACTTCTTATTAACATATCCTAAAAATCCCATATTTAAAACATTCAAGACACAGGTTTTTCACTCGCTCTGAAGTGTAGCAGTAAGACAGAAACAAAAACATCTAATCGTATCACATTATCATGCTCATTTTGATGTTGAAAATGTATCACTTTCTGAAATTGTTTCAGGCTGTTTCCTTCTGGGTAAACTCCATGGAGAGCCTTTGATACAGTGAAATGTAACCAAATTTTAGGTTACAGAAATAGAGATGGCTCATATAGAATGCATACCACAGCAAAATACTGGATTCTCTGGTGACCACTATGGCCTTGTGATGAATAAACTCAGAAACTCAAGCACTCATTCAAACAAAGATATTTCAGAAATAACGTCATTTGAGGGCACTGTTAGAGCAAGTCATATATAGAAATACACCACATTTTTTAAATTATGCCACTTATTCTTTAATGTAAAGACTGTTTTGAACCTAAAATTAATTACAGGTTCAAAGAGTATGCATCTTCAAAATTATTTTGGTATGGATTGCAAAGCTTTCCAGGTAAGCTCTATTGGTAACATGCTTGCCTTGCCTATACAGAGCCCTGAGATTCACACCAGTGCCACATAAGGCAGAATGAAATGCCACATGTCTGCAAGTCTAGCGCCAAGGATGTTACAGAAAGAGGATCAAGACAATACATTTGTGTGTGTGTGAGAGAGAGACAGACAGACAGACAGGCAGACAGACAGACAGAGACAGAAAGACAAATCCAAAGGACAAACACCCTCTGTACATAAACAGTAAAGGACTCTACTTTCCACCCAAATTTGTTCCAAATATCTGGTTCCTCACAGTAAACTCTAGTCAGTTTTGTTTGTGCCACTTCACGTGATGTGTGTCCAATAACTCGCTGATTCTTCTGAAATAAAGGTTTCTTCTAGAAGAATATTGCTAAAGGGGCTGCTTTCTTATAGGTCTTGAAGTAGATAATTCTCCCAAAATTAGAACCTGTCCTTTGGATAGCCTTAAGATGCCCTCAGTAGTCCTTGCTTCGTAGGTTTCATGCTCTTTCACAGGACTCTCCCAGAGATCAGGTATGGCATCATTGGTGTCTCACTGACAAGACTAATCCATTAAAGTAGTTAACACCTTCTTTTTTATCTTTTTTATTTTAATTTTAAATAGCTTGTTTTACATGTCAATCCCAGTTCCCTCTCCCTCCCCTCCTCCCGCAATCCCCTCCCCTCTCCCCCCCCCCCCGAGCCTCCCACCCTATTGCCAATTCCTTCCACATAGGGGATATCTAGAGTCTGTCATTTCATTCAGAGTAGGGTCCAGGCACTCCCCTAAGAGTCCAGGCTGAGAGAGCATCCCTTTTTGTGTTATGGCCACACGATGACTGTTTGTATTCCAGGGATAGACACTGATCCACTGCTCAAGGCCCCATAGGTTGCCCAGGCCTTCTCACTGACACTCACATTTGGGGGAGGGTCCAGATCAGTCCCATGCTGGCCTTCCAGCTGTCAGTCTGTGGTACAAGAGCTCTCCCCTCTT